GAGTGATAAGTAGTGAGGGCTGGATCTCAATAGTGATTGCCAACGAACTATGCCTACAGTAACCGGAGGCGAGACCCGGACCTCCGCTGTATTCAAACTGAAGCACGGCTTCTACTATCTGCTCAACGAATATATAAATTATGACATTATTATGAGTAAAGAAATAGTGAAATAAGTAAACATTTGAAATGCGAACCTTTGATGGACACAAATCAATGCTTTCTGTAATTCGTTTATCACTTATTTGTTTGGATTTATTACTGGTTTGTAATTCAGAGATGAAATTCGCTAAAGTAGTCGAACCTAATAACTGAGTCTTTTTGGCAGCGCTGGCCGACGCGTGCGCGGGAGAATTCTGGTGCGAACTGTACGGCGTTTGGCTACGACTGGCCGCCGCTGACGACCTGTTGGCGGCCGCCGTTCGCGTAGTATTGCTTTTGGTTGCGTTCGTTTCGATGACAAAGTCTCCGATGGCGTTGAGTGTCAAATCGAACGTAACGGACGAACCGCAGGCCAGCGGTAATTCGCTATTGATTGAGTGGTCGCTCCATTCAAACAGCGACTTTTCCGTCTCCTTTGGCAGTTTCGACACAACACTAATGTTAATCAGTTCTATGAGTTCGCTGTTCGGACTGTTGTTGGACAGCGTTAGCTGACACGTGCGCCTCTCGCCGGCAAACATCGTGACCGACGCGCTGTACGCGATGTGAGTGCCGTCGTTGGCCGACAGACTTGAGAATTGGTTCGCTTTCGGCAAAGAGCACGAAATGCCGATCAACGGTAAAAACGGAATGATTTCTATTGAGTAACTCTTCGGTAGTTTGAGTTTCTTGGCGTTCGGCAGCTCTCGCAGCCGACACTCGCTCTTCACACCCAACGTGTGTGTAGTATAGCCTAAGATATCGAGCCGACCGTTAGAGCGGGGAATTCCGGTCAGACTGACGGTTGTGTTCTGCGATTCGGAGCTCAACGTCAATGAAGTGGGATATGTCTCGAACGCCAGTCCGTCGGTCATTAATGACATATGAGTTATAATCAGATCTATTGGCAGATAATTGTCCAAAACCATAGTAATGGTCGCGACCTCCCCTTCGGCCCATTTGTACTCCAGGTTTGTTGTCACTGTAGACAGTCTTCGGGGAGTATTAACAGTTCTGTTCAGTTGAAGCGGTGTGAAGATGAAAGGACTGGAAGGGGTCGAAGTCGTCGGATTGGGTTTAGTTTTCGACTTCAATTTAATGGGCCGTAAATGTGGCGCCAAATTCTGCACTTTAAACGAGACAATAGTTGGAAATTTGGTTAAATTGACAGAAGGGATGACTATTCCGTTTTGAAGCTTCAGAGGGACCGGCGATCCTTCGCCACAACGCGACGACAACGAGGAAAGCTTTGTCGCAAACTCTTGTCTTTGTTGAACAGATAAGTACTCGAAGAGTGCGTGCAATAGAAAACTCAAGTGACGGACAGCTAAGGGCTCGCAATTCATTTTGATAGCAGTGGTGACCAATTCTTGCAGTAATTGCATATGAATTCCGGGCCATCCGATTGCGTTCGTATCAATTCGTCGCTGATATTCAATGGGATCTAATGTCAGACCATAGCCCTCGAGGGACGGCATCAATAGATAATAGCATTTCTCCCAATCGGGGTTTTGGAGATGAAGGGACACCGCTTTGAGTGCAGCGAATCGGCGATAAAACGCAGCCTTTCGTGAAAACCCAATATTTGAATACAATTCTGCAATCATTGACAGCCTCTCGATCTGCAAAAACAAATTCTACGGCTATTACTAAAGAAATGTTTTAAAAACAATAGTTTGTATCATTACCTGCTCTTCATTTGTCTGATTAAATGAGATAAACACTGCGTTCTGTATGAACTCCGAAGACCACAAATACTTCTCTATATCCGTCAAAACTCGGGCCGCTTTGAAACTACACTCAAACTCGAGAATAGCGGCGTTTCGGTACTAAAAACAATATCAATAATTAAGACAACGAATTCAAGTAAACGCATCCCTTTCCCAAAAGCTGCGGGCGTTTACCTTAGCGTAATGACAGGCGGCCTCTTTGTATTTATCGTAGATTTCGCTGTTATTTAAAATATTTTTGCCCAAATTTTTGGTCAAAACCGGATCCAAACCATTGGGCAAACTCTTACTCGGGCGTTTACCTTAGCGTAATGACAGGCGGCCTCTTTGTATTTATCGTAGATTTCGCTGTTATTTAAAATATTTTTGCCCAAATTTTTGGTCAAAACCGGATCCAAACCATTGGGCAAACTCTTACTATTGAGAGACTTAGAGTGCGCTAAACTCTTGCGGCCATTCTTTGCAATTTTAGACAACGGGAGGGAAGCGTTGCGTTGAAACGATGCGGAGGACATACGGCGGGCTCTGTTCGGGTAGAGTAGTGTCAATGAGGCGACGCATTGGCCTTCGAGAGCGGCGGCCAACCAAAGCCAATCGCTAACGGCTTTCAACTGCTCGATGGCCGAGCAGTAGTGGTTTAGGGCTTCGTTGGGCAGACCGGCCAACAGCGAGAGGTGCCGGTGCACAAACGCGTAAGCAGGGTTTGTAGCAAACGCCTTGCAAGCCCTTAGCCACAGGTTTGGCTAGTCTAGAAAGAAGAGCTTGCCGCGCTAGTCTTCGCCATAGAAGAGGACGAAAAGCACCGTCCGATCCAACCGTTTCTTCTCCAACACCCAAAACAGCGATGATATGAAGTCCTTGACGTTTGTCTCAATCCGATCGCAACACTCGTCGTCCGACTCGTACCGAATATATTCCGTGAATTGAGGTCTCGATGGTATCGATGTCTGAACGCTATCACTGTTTAGCACATCATTATTATTTGGCAAATCATCGCTCAAATCGTTGCGACTCTTATGCGATGACAGAGTTTTATTAGGACTCGTTGTGAGCGAACCGTTCGTCGCGGCGGCCGTCGACTGGCCGTCAGTGCGGCCGTCGGTCACACAGTATTGAGCATTAATCTCATCAATAGATTCGGGACTAGATTCAGATGAGTCTATATTGACGTGAGTTATCGACAAATGGCTATCACTTAGAATTGGTTCCGCACCACAAGATCGGCCACGTGTTTGCGCATTCGTCCCAAACATCGTTTGCGGAACGTTCGGGAATCGGTGTCCAAACCGATCAGATCTTTCTTCTCGAACGGCGCGATCAGAAGCGGTATCTTCTCCTGCTTTTCGTGGGTCCGATCCAACCGTTTCTTCTCCAACACCCAAAACAGCGATGATATAAAGTCCTTGACGTTTGTCTCAATCCGATCGCAACACTCGTCGTCCGATTCGTACCGAATATATTCCGTGAATTGAGGTCTCGATGGTATCGATGTCTGAACGCTATCACTGTTTAGCACATTATTATTATTTGGCAAATCATCGCTCAAATCGTTGCGACTCTTATGCGATGACAGAGTTTTATTAGGACTCGTTGTGAGCGAACCGTTCGTCGCGGCGGCCGTCGACTGGCCGTCGGTCACACAGTATTGAGCATTAATCTCATCAATAGATTCGGGACTAGATTCAGATGAGTCTATATTGACGTGAGTTATCGACAAATGGCTATCACTTAGAATTGGTTCCGCACCACAAGAAGGCATTCGGTCGCTGATGTCAAAGCCGTCGATTATATCGTCACCAGCGCTGGTGAACGACTTCGACAGACTTCGCATCCGAGCGCACGAGTCGTCTGTTTCGTCAAAATAATCGTTTTGATGATCGATATTATGACTAATAATGGATTCACTTTCGGTCAAATCAATGGCCGAGTCTTTGTGCGACGACTCGGTGTCCGCCACAGCGGCGGCGGCGGCGCCGATGCTATTGTGCCGTTCATTGTTGAGTCCATTGTTAACGCCGTCGACGATCGAGTGGTCAGTGATATCGTTGACCAGAAAACAGCGCGAATCGTATAAAGTGTTGGCGAAAGTGTCTCTCAAAGTGTTGTGCAACTCATAGATGGACTCGATTTCGTTGGTGTTGTTAAAGTAGGCGATTGTGATGAGTCCCAAGACCTTGCGGTGACACTGGAAGTCTCCCCAATCGTTGTTGTCTATACTGTACGACCGCTTATACCGCACCCGAACCTTGCGCTCGAAGCCCAACCCCTGGGCGTCGTTCACCGATATCTCACACAATTTGTTGATCCCATCGTAGATCCGGTTGAATAGTTTGGGACTTATTTGCGGACCTAATGGACAGACAAACATGTGGTTAACATTTAGATCAATTGAATGGTTAAATGGGTTACCGATTTGCTTGACCACCACGAGTAGGCACTGGTGATCGTCAGCGCACTGGTCATAGTCCGGGACACTCATTGGATCCACTAGTCGTGGCTCGCGATGTCGACCGTCCTCTTCAGTCCATCGATCGAGTGGTGATAATTAGCGGCGATTTTGCAGCGGCGGTAGTAATGGGTTGTCCGACGAGTGGTTAATCCGGTTGTGGACCAAAGTGTTTGACAATCGGTTTCAATATTTGTTATGATTTTCACACCTCTTGTGATGCGTTTGACAACAAATACGCAAAACAATTGTTTAGACATTACTTTTTCACATCAATTATGACCACAAATACAGTCAATGTTTTTCAATGCATTTTAAGCCTTGGCTTTCGCTTTACCACAACTTTTTGACCCCTTTTTACACTTTATTTGTGCAGTTTTTTGTTTCATTATTTGCTGACAATTACCCCTATTTTTCATTGATTTTGATTATAGTTATCTTTTTTGCCGATTAATTGATTTTTTTTATAATTGTAATAATGTTTGTCTCAATACAACGCTATGTTTGCTATGAAGTTGTGGTTATTATAAAAAGTTTTGTTCAGATGTTTAACGGGTTTTAAGTTTTGGAAATTAATTTTTGACTTTTATTAACTGTTATAACAAAAGTTAATTATCGATGTAATGGTCATTAAAATGAGTTTATAAACGACTAAATTTACGGAGAAAATGACGATAACTTTATCCACAATAAGTTTTTATAACAATAGTATTGAAAAGTGTAACAAAAGGAAAAACACTGACACATAAAATGACAATTGAATCGTAACTGAAAGACAATAACATTAAATAATCTATCGTTTAATCTATAAAATAACAGACAAAAAAGTAATTAAAAAACTTTTCAAACGATAAAATAGTGGCAATAATTGCAAGAAAAGCACTCAAAAGTCCAGTGAAGCGGCGATTGGGAGACAATCCCTGCGAAGAAGTTGACGTCAGAGGCGTCGGTCGAGTGGCGCACAGAACTCGAGCCCTCACATCACAGGCACTGACAGAGCATTCAGTGCTCACATTCTCGAGTGTTTTCATGCATTTTATCGATTCATTACTTGAGACCTGAGTTCAGTTGTGTTGTGTTTGCAATGGAAAGCACTACGGTTGAAAAAATTCCCGGAATATAATAAATATTCCCAATTGGGAATATTCCCAGTGGGAATATTCCCGGAACGTTCCCACCCAAAAAGCTCACTCACCAGATGGCGCCAGTAGTAAAGTGTGTCGACCCCCACATTTCACCCCCATTTTGCCCCCAATTGGGGGTGATTGTGTAAGAGTTTGCCCAATGGTTTGGATCCGGTTTTGACCAAAAATTTGGGCAAAAATATTTTAAATAACAGCGAAATCTACGATAAATACAAAGAGGCCGCCTGTCATTACGCTAAGGTAAACGCCCGGAGCTTTTGGGAAAGGGATGCGTTTATTTGAATTCGTTGTCTTAACTATTCATATCGTTTTTAGTATCGAAACGCCGCTATTCTCGAGTTTGAGTGCAGTTTCAAAGCGGCCCGAGTTTTGACGGATATTGAGAAGTATTTGTGGTCTTCGGAGTTCATACAGAACGCAGTGTTTATCTCATTTAATCAGACAAATGAAGAGCAGGTAATGATACAAACTATTGTTTTTAATACATTTCTTTAGTAATAGCCGTAGAATTTGTTTTTGCAGATCGAGAGGTTGTCAATGATTGCAGAATTGTATTCAAATATTGGGTTTTCACGAAAGGCTGCGTTTTATCGCCGATTCGCTGCACTCAAAGCGGTGTCCCTTCATCTCCAAAACCCCGATTGGGAGAAATGCTATTA